CAAAACCTCTGGGAGTCAAGCCAGTCTTCAGACGCACCCTGTTCCCTGTCCCAGCTGCTGCTGCCAGCTTTTTAACTCCTTCCTGCCCTGAAAACCCTAAATCCTCTCTCCCTGCTCGGCGGCTCTCGTTAAATTACTGGTGTCAAGAGCTGTACATGGGGGGGTCACACACGGACATGGTCCCCACGGATGCCCAGTTTTGGTGGGACACATAAGTCCCTCCCTCCAGGTCTCAGGGAAAGGTTATAACCTCAGAGCAAAACCAAAGGAGGAGGAGAAAAAAAATCCCAGAAAACATTTCCAAGATTTCCACTGGACGGAAACACAAGTCCCAAAAGTCAAGCGCTTTTGAGATGCTTTCCCAGCTTGGTTACAGGGCCAGGACCCCCCCCAGCTGCTGTCTCAGAGGAGTGATCCCCCCCGCGCCACAAGCATCACACGCCAGCGACGTCTGGAAGCCAGGAGGTCTGAGCAATCGTAACCTTGAGTACTTGAGTTTTACAAAAGACCGGGATGAAAATCTCCCCTGGGCAGTGCTGGTGCTCTCCCAGGCCCCAGAAAATTCAGTTGCTCTTCACCCAAGCTTAAAAATAATCACCCAAAATCCACTTATCTGGCCCATTTCCCTGCCTCGGTGCCCAGCTCTGGAGACGACGAGTCCTCATCCCTGGGGACCACCAAGTCTCTGGTCCCCTGCCGGGATGCAGCAAACTCGTGGACCACACCTGCTGCTTTTGCCATGAAGCAGGGCAAGTCATCTTCGTGGCTCAAAAAGTGTCCCCTTGAAGGGACACTTGACAGGGAGGTAACATTTTTGGCTCCCCCTAGCCAGGATGCTGTGTGGCTGGGAAAGCTGCAGTCTGTGGCAATGTGGTCCCGCAACGCAGAGTGGGAAAGGATGCAAGTCTCCTGATGCTCCAATTTAAAAATATTCAGGAAAAGCACTGAAACAAACACTCAGATGTCTATTTTGCTTTACACAACATTTCCCACGCTACTTTTTAAGCTGGCATGGCAAGGATGCTGTTGCTAATAGGCTTGCCCCACAACTGATGCTGTTAGGGGTGCATGTTGTGGAACAGCCCACGACTAATCAAATGAGTGACGCATTTGTGTCCATATGTCAGAGTTTCCATACAGCCCCGCCGAAGCTCATGTGCTCCCATCAACCTGATGAAAGGAGCCAGCCTGCCAACCCGTTCCGGCGTGTTTGGACGGGACCCTGCTGCGCCCAGCTCTGTTCCCCTGGGGCAAGGGTGCGGAATCCTGGCAGGGTGTGGGACCTCCCCTGCATGTCCAAGAGGGATGCTGATGACTGCTGCTCCTCTCCCACCGGTGGAGAGGACAGATGGAAAAGCTCAGTGATCCCATGTCTCTGCTCCCCCATATTGCAGCAGGGATGCGATCCAAGTCCCCCAGAGCCACACAGCATCTCCAGGGCAGCTCCTGGGGCCAGGGGGTAGCTTCATGAGCCCTGATGAGCTGCCTCATTTCAGCCAGGAGGGTTTCAGCTGTGGCACCATGCTGGGGTGCCCCAAGCATATGCAGTCACGATGTCCAGCCAGAAAAAATCCCATTTCTCCCTTCTGCTGGGATTAGGCAGCTCATGATAGCAGAGCAGAGCAAAGCAGCAATCCCACAGGACCTCCCTGCGTGCGGGGCTGCCACTGCCAGCCCTCGTTAAGTCAATGATCTTTGTTTCGCTGCATACCTCTGAGCTGGCAGCTCCTGGGGAAGGAACCAGGGCTGGGGCATCCCAAAATAAGGGACCTGAGATTTCCAAAATAAGGGCTCGGTGGGTGGCCTGGTGGCACAGGTAGCACTAGAGCATCCCGACCCAGCATGTCCAGCTCTGCCACTGACCAAGCAGCTAGGCAGGGACATGGAACATACCAGCTGGTGAAATATTTTTGAGAAGTATTTCCTCAGAGAAGCCATGGCAATGGCAGCTGGCTTGCTGGCAGAGCAGGGGAAACCCCTTGTTTTAGCCTCCTCTAGGCTAAAGGCTTCCAAAAAGCACTTTGCACGCTCCAGGGTATGCTGCCAGAAGCTCATCATGACCTTGCACTTCTTTAAAAGCCAAATAGGACCCTCAGTCTGGTCCCAGTTCCCTCCTGAACAGGCTGGCTGCATCTTCGCACTGCCGTTTGGCATCCGCCAGTGCAGCCTGGTCCCTCTGGAAAAGGGGGATGAGGCTGCCCTGCACACTACAGGCTCAGTCCTGTCCCAGAAGAAAAGAAGAGGGAGGGGGAAA